ATCTTTAGAACCCGATGTTGTAAACCTTTGATATTTCAAACTCAGATTATTTGATCTAACAAAATTCATAGTTTGAAATATCTAAGGTCTGCAACATTTGGTTCCAAAGATATAGTGATTATAAAATCAGAGTTTGTGGCAAAAACTCAATTCCTTTGAAAATTGTTAAATGTTTGCAGTCAACATCATCGAATTCTCTTTAAATAAAGAAAGAAAATCTAAAAATTGGTCAATTCCATAAAATCCCCTTTAAGAAATACGATTGCTCTATATACATGTACACAACCGACCTGTCTATTAATTAATTAATAGACAGGTCGGTTAATTAATTAATTAATAGACAGGTCGGTTGTGTACATCTAAGCTAAGCTTCACCTCTTCGTTTTATTACTCTATGGTATAAATTATAAGTTTTAATTGAAGGAGGGTATCTTTGATTGTTGCACCGGCTAGTCCAATTGAGTGTCTGCTTTATTTACCCAATGTCTGGGCGATACAGTACAAACTGTATATGTACTGTATGTATGTATATGTACTGTATATGCTTTTAGTTGTACCGTTTAGTCTGGACTACCCAATGCAACGTTGACCCAGTTTGCTCTTAATCCCTTGTTCAGTTTTTACTTACAGTCGTCGTCGTCATCACAATGACAATACGCTAAGAAATTTCAAATTTTCTTTTTACAAAATAAGTTTGAGCCCCGGCATCAAATTCACCTTGGCAGAATCATCCCACAAAATTTGACGAATGATTCTGCTAAGGTGAATTTGATACCGGTGCTCCAACAAGTTTTGTTAGACGAAAATTTGAAATTCTTAGAGTGAAAGAAAAGCTGTCAATTAAAATCTTCCTTAGATTTTACTTGTGAACTTGTAATTTGAAAAAGCCTGGTCAAAATCAAAACTAAAATTAAAAAGTCGTCTTCACTGTAGTGATATTAACGCCGACCACTGTAATCTAGCGCACAGTCTCCAGTATCAATGGTGTAGGCTTTGTTTTGCTACTTAGCGATTTTCCTAAAGACCTAATGAACTCTTTATAAGTACCATGCGGTATTTCTCAAGATAGGATTGTAAGCCTTCCTCTTCTCAACGCTCTCCATAACAAAGGATAATAATAAGGTTCCGAACGTTTATTTCTACGAGACTTCAATCTAAATAAGTTTAATAAACCCACAGAAAAAGCATTGAGTGATAAATCATACGAATACAACAAATAAATCAACTCAGGCATTAAAAAACTGTGGAATGGAACCAACAAATCACATTTATAAATATCAATCATAGCATAAACAAACGATATGCATACATATATATAAGGAATAATTACCGCAGTGATCCTAGAATTCTTAGCACGGTTAATAATAGACGAACTTGTAAGACAAATAAATATATACTAAGATAGAAACTGCCCGCTTCCACGCGAGAAAACTTGCGCCTGCGTAGTCAGTCTGTAAACAGCTTCTAAAACTAGTTTTTCACAATACGTTCTGTACAGATCCGCAGGGAGAACTCAGGAATTCACAGGGGCACCACATAGACTTCATACACGCAGCATGGCTCGCGTAACA